TGAAGGTGGCGGTGGCCTCCACAACCCAGTCCTCGCCTGCTCACCCATTCCACCACAGTGGGTTGTCCCCTTGGGAGCTGGCAGTTAGTCCTGAGGAAGGTTGAGGGCATCTGCTGTGGCGTCTCCTGAAGGTGGAAGGGATCGGTGATCCTGACCATCGTAACTGAGATGGTGGTGTGAGGAGATCCCACTGAGCACGGGGCTGTGTAAGGAGATTGTGCCAAACCCAGACACCGGGTCAGCAGCCAGCCGTGCGGTGCCCGGCAGATCCCAGACTCCTGACAACCTGAGCAGCTACTCTGCCAGCACCGGCAAAGCCTGGGTCGTGAGGAACCCAGCCTAGTGTAGCGTCCTAAAAATACAGTTAAATGCAAGTTCTCCCTCCGGATTCTGCAAGGGTCTGGAGATTGGCCTAGCAGAAATGGTTAACTGTGTGCTGCACGTCAGGTTAGGGTTCAGCACCAAGCTGTCTACAGAGCAGGGCTCAGCTGCTAGGCTTCTTTTTTAAGATGCCAGGACAGGACACAGTGGAGGCTGTAGTGTGTTGAGAGTAGGAATAACGATTTCATGTTTCTTTAGCTGGCCTCACTGGAGCCCGCAGGTCTTCTTTTCCACATGAGGTATGCCCTCTTCACAGTTGGAAAGAAAATAGGACCCAATGGCTTCCCAAGCGATGACACTGAGGATTTAAGAATAGTTGCTAGCCATGCCCGTGACAGGCAGAATGATGGTCCAAGTTCTTGGACCATCAGTCTTCAGTGATGGTTCCAGTTGTCTTTCATTGGTGTGTTAAATGTAACAAATAAAAAAATAGCAGCAAAGATCCAAAGGGATAACCATATCCCAGATGAATTTTACTCTTTACCGTGCTCAGTTCTAGCTGGGATGCAAAGAGTTCGGATAGCTGAGCCTGCTGAGCAACGTGCCTTTGGACGAGGTGCTCGACTGCCTTGCTGGTGGCCAAATCGTTAGTGCCACTGTTGGAAGTGACAGAAGAGCCCAATATTTTTCTCTTAATACTGACTAGCTTGGGATCAGCCCAGTCCTGCCTTGCAGACTTCACTGCTCGACCACTGTATACATGTCCTCTGTACGCAGAATTGTAAATATTTGGTTTCCATTGCTGTTTTATCTCAATGGTGTACTGAAACAGCTTTTGGTTTTAGTCTCATATGCTAAAATTGTTTGGCTGCTTCTGTTAGATTTTTTAAGGCATGATTTAGTTCCCTTTCCTCATTTTTTTTTTCTGACCCAGTGGACCTGCACTATAAGTTTTAACTGTTTTCAGAGAAAACAGTCTTAATATATTGTCAGCATTTTATGGGTTCCTCTGCAGAAACATCTGATTTGTTCCAGGAAATCACATGCAGACATAACACTTCCCTTCAGAGCAACTGTGTACGAGTTTGGGATTGACACAGGCAATTTATCTGTGTCCCCGGACCGCCAAGCAATACCTTCGGCAGCTCTAAATAAGGGCTAGAACTCATTCCCTGGGAAATTTTCTTTCTTGTTGAATCACTTCGAGATTTATCAACAGGACCGTGGAACTGAGAGAAAATGACCCATCTTTGTAAGAAATCTTTTTCTGG